CCAAGGCATGGTTCCAGTTTGCTTAAAAATGAACAATAAAAAATCCCACTAACAAATATGATAATAAAAGATAAGAAAATTATGAAATTTTGAAATTAACCGTATTCTAAAACTAAACATGGAAAATACTTTCTTTTTAAGAACCATCTCCCCTACTGTTTGATCTCTATGGAGCTTTTTATAGATTAATATGCAGTGTCTGAAAAAGGAACAATGATAAAAAATATTTTTTTTTTTTAAAGCTTTAAAGTTATTTATATAAAGCAAAACACATGGTGTATTCGTTGGGTTATGTGGTGCCCCGTTTTCTTCGTGTTGTCTCCTGTAGCATGGAGGATAGACTTCCTTATTCCCGGCCGCTTAAGACAAGGATCTTGGGTCAAAGCTGTGGCAGGAGTGACCCGCTGTTGCTAAGTCTAAGTAAGGGCCACTGGTTCTCTCAGACGACGTATTATTTATGGAATGAACAATTTCAAAAGGCTACAAATATAAAGGAATAGATTTTTATGCGATTTACTCATGTCTTAATGAACTTGAGGATCTTAAAAAAAACAAATTCACTCAATTTCGCAATCTTTATTTACATGGTGACTACTATTTAACATCAGTTTCCTTCGTCTGTTTTGAGATTGCCTTCTCTGCTCATTTATACTTCCAAACCATGGCGTTTGTGGTTCAACACGCTCAAAAAAATAGTGTCCCAAGCAGTGTGTACGTGTGTGTGTGTGTGTGTTTGTGTGCTGCGTGTGCGTGTGTGTGTGTGCGTGTTGGTGTGTTGTGTGCTGTGTGTGTGTGTGTGTGTGTGTGTGTGTGTGATGTGTGTGTGTGTGTGTGTGTGTGCGTGTGTGTGTGTGTGTGTGTGTGTGTGTGTTTGTTGTGTGCTGTATGTGTGTGTGTGTTTGTCAGTAAGAAGCCTCCAAGATAAGCACCAACAAGTCAGAAAAAGCGAAACTGACCATCAGCAAGCGACCAAATTGAAGAAGTTCGTGAAGATCCCGCTGGCGTCGAAGTTCTCAGCCGAGGAGAGGCGTCTACCGTCTAGAAACCAAGGCTACAGGACCGGGGGAGGTAACTGGTGCCAATAACCAAGAGGATCTCCTTCCTTTCGTCCCCAAAGCCGGCGATCGGATGAGGTTGCTAAGCACAACTCTCCATGAAAAGCGAAATGCGGAATGGCTTTAAAACTTATATGTATATCTCAATTTCGTCTCATATACAGTTACATTTTTTTCGGTACATATATTCGTGTAAATGAATACGGATGTACATGAATATATAGATAGATAGATAGATAAATAGATATTAAATATATATATATATATATATATATATATATATATATATATATATATATATATATATATATATATACATATACTGTACGTATGTGTATATGTGTGTGTGTTTGTATGTATGTGTGCGTGTGTGTGCTTGTGTGTGCGTGTTCTTCATCTGGCAAATAAAAATGATGATGAATAATAGCGATCCCGGAATATGCATGATCTGATGAGGAGCTCTTGACGAGTTCGAAATGCATTATCATGCAATTTCAGTTCATATCATAGCAGAGTACATATGTACATATGAGTATGTATATTCGTGTGTGTGTGTGTAAGGAGTATATGATACCAACTTGATACCAACTCTTTGAACAAAAGAATTGTTCTTCTAAGGTAAAGGTCGGCACGCAGAGCGCTTGTCTATGGCACATGTGATTCAGAGGAGCAAAAAAAAAAGTTAAACTGCAAAATAAGGAGAGAGAGAGAGAGAGAGAGAGAGAGAGAGAGAGAGAGAGAGAGACAGAGAGAGTGTGTGTGTCTCATTATTATGGTCATACCCTCAGCCCCCACCGCAGCAGCCTTACTACGGTGTGTCCAGATATGGTGAGTGTATATCGAAAATTATAAAACACATGTATTTTTTGTTACAAAGAATACAAAATGCTACACAAATATGGCATTTATATTATGCATGTGCAGGAAAATAGACTTGGTTATACAGTGCTGAAAAAACGGGCATTGATTATAAACTGGCACACTATGTTCCAAAGGTTGCCGACCCCTGTTCTAAGTTAACCCGGAGCTCAGAACTGTTGCACCTGTGCTCTGGCCACAAACGTAAATATCAGGATATAATCTAATTTACCCAAATTGACCATTGTGAAGGAAATGCAAGAGAGTTCCAGAGAAGCATGGCTTCGCAGAACAAAATAGATAAACATGCATATGCATATGTGCATATACATGTGAGTGTGTGTTTAATATATATTATATATAATATATATATATATATATATATATATATAATATATATATATATATATATATATATATATATATAGAGAGAGAGAGAGAGAGAGAGAGAGAGAGAGAGAAGAGAGAGAGAGAGAGAGATACAAATATATATATGCATATATACAGTACATGTGTATGTGTATATAGATATATAACAAATATATACTATATGTACAAATAGATAGACCTGTCTTAAGTTACAATGA